ACTCCTCACTCTTTGTTTTTCTCAAGGAGTCATCCTGGATTTACTTTTTGGTTTATATCGATGATATTCTTGTCACTTGTGATATCCCAAATTTTTGAGAATTTTATCATATAAGTTAGGGACTAATTTGTGAGGAAAGATTGTTTTGGGGCCTAATGTGAATATTTCAAAAGTTGAAAGACTTAAAAAGGAAAAAATATTGGATAAGGATCAACTTCTTTTCTTTTTCTTTTTCTTTCTTTCTTTTCTTCCTCGGACCCACGCCTGCTCTTCTTCTTCTTCCCGCTGCAGCCACCCGAAAGAAAAAAAAAAAAGGAAACCCAGCCATGCCTTGAGGAAACCGGTAGAGAGCTTAATTTTTCCCTTCTTTTCTTGTCCAAGAACCTGATTTGGAACCCAGAAATCTCCCCCTTGCAGGAAGCTTCCGGATCTGCTCTGCTTTTCCCTCTGCTGTCCGTCGGCTTCAGCTTGTGGGTGCGAAATTCTGGGCCTTTTGGGTAAGAAACAGCCATTAAATCCCTTTGTTTTAAATTAGCTTGGGTTCATGTTAAATATGTTGTTTCTCCAGAATTTTGATAGATTTCCCGTGAGCCGTGAGCTTTCTTCTTCCATGCCACCGGCCTTCCGCCAATCTGCAGCTCCGGTTTTAGCTGGAGAATTATGGTATGTGACAGCCGTTTAAGCTTGAAATTATCCATATAGTTTGCTGGCTGTGTTGTCCGAATTTGATAGAAAATTTGGGGATAATTCCAGTAGCTTTAGGATGAAGTTTAAGTATTAATTCAAGTGGGATTTATGTGATTGAGTGTTAATTGATTGCTGTGTGATTTTGGAGAGAAAATCCCATGAATTTGCTAGTGGTTTGGCCAATTTTTGGAAGTTGGAGTTATTGTTCACGTTGTGGTTACTGTTCACAAAACACTGTTCATGCACCGAGGGTCAACAATTAACGGGGATTTAAATTATTAGTTTGTGAAATAAGAACAAATTTGGAGATATTTGATAATGTGGAGACTGATAGAAATAGTATCGTGATTAAGGGGTAATCCTAATGATAATTTCAGTGTGAATTTGTGATAGTACAGTATTAATTCTCGGATATTTTGATTAGGTTCCTGATCGTTCTGTCAGTTTAGCATTGAGATCGAGTCTTCAGTTTTATGCGAGTGAGGTAAGTAGATTATGGTAACACCCTTCGATTTTAAAAGCGTGTTTTGATTTGTTTTTGAAATGGTGGCGGGACTAAACCCGTTTTATGCAAAAGTAAGTATGATTGATTTGAAGTGAAATTTTTGTGCTTTTCATTAAATTGAGCATGCCTACTTGAAATTTAATTGATTGTCCTAATAATTTGAAAGTGATTGGTGAATTATGATTTTTCTGTTAACTTCTGCCTGTTTTATCTCCGATGTGGTCATGTTATTTCTGTAATCCTGCTAGTGGGGGTTAAACGCTAGCACATGTCGACATGTATTTCTATATAGCCGGTTCCTCCTGCTAGTGGGAGTTGCTAAACATTGGTATTTCTGTAATTCTGCTAGTGGGGGTTAAACACTAGTAATTTCTGTAGCCTGCCAGTGGGAGGTTTAAACACTGGCCATGACCTATAGAGGAGACGTCTATTTCGCTCCTGTAATGTATCTGTTTTCATGATTACACTTGTTGGCATGCTATAAGTTTTATTATGGGCTATCCATAATTACTTACTAAGTTTATCTCATAGTTTTTCCTTGTCCACCATTTCAGGAAACGAAACTGAGGACGGGGAAACCACGGGAAGTGACGAGTTAGAAGGCTAGCCATTTTGTAAATTGAATATAGATTTTAGATATAAATCATGATCTTGTAAACTAGACTTTGTTGGAGATTTATGATATTAGAGCAAATTATAAAATTTAATCTTTAGATTTGATGGTATCAGATTGTGGTATGATAAGTTCCGAGCCTTGTGCATTTGTGGGATCCTCTCACGAGTGCACGACGTTTGTCGCGCCTCGGATTCGGGTTCTGGGGTGTGACATCACTGGTAGTGACTGCATGGCTCTAAACTCCCTTATCAAGGTTATGAGTACTCTCTTTTCCTTGAAAGATTTGGGTGATGTTAATTTTTTTCTGGGTATAGAGGCTATTCGTACTAGTGAAGGCCTTTTTCTCTCGTAGTGTTGCTATATTTCTGATATTCTTCAGCGATTCCAAATGCATGAGGCCAAACTTGTGTCCACACCAATGGCTCTTCGCTCAAATTTGCTCCCTACCTCCGGCAATGCACTTTCTGATGGTTCTGTCTATCGGCAACTTATAGGCTCTCTCCAATACTTGGCTCTCATTCGCCCAGATCTTTCTTTTGCAATTAGTCGCTTAGCTCAGTTTATGCATCATCCCACGGAGTCACACTAGCAGGCCACCAAATGATTGCTTAGATATCTCCGTGGCACCTCCGATCATGGACTCTTGCTCTGGCCCCAATGGTCTTTCTCTCTTCATGCTTACTCTGACACCAACTGGGCTGGTGATTGCAGCACTATGATTAGCACTATTAGGTACCTTGTCTTTCTTGGTCAGAATCTTATTTCTTGGCGTGCCGCTAAGCAGAAAGCTATTGCTCGGAGCTCTACTGAAGCTTTAGTATACAGCTTTAGCACACTACAAGCAAATGTACCTATACTGATGGAAGTTTTTCGTCTGTATAAACCCTTTTTCCGTCAGTATAGACCCCAAAAACTATTCCAACGAACAAACTTTCCGTGGGTAGAAACCTCGTCAGTATAGGGTTTATACCGACACCCAATCCGTCTGTATAGACCCTTGGGATCTATTCCGATGGAAAAAACTTCCGTTGGTATAGACCCTGAAAAATTTTTAAAAATTTGCCATGGGTATAGACCCTTACATTTACAGATGGACAATTCCGTTGGTATAAATCCTTTTTTTTTTTAATTGATAATTTACTTTTATTTTATCATTTTTTCTTGCACTTATTACTAATGCCATTTTTCTGCACTACAAAATCAATCCCTCCAAAGCACACAACCATTTGCACAAATCAATCCCTCCAAAGCACTAATTAATCCCTAACCATTTGCACACAAACAGGAAAGAAAAAAACACAACTTTGAAATTTCCTAACCATTTGGACGAATCAATCCCTCCAAAGCACACAACCAATCCCACCAAAGCACACAACCGCTCAAACTAAGCTAGTCTATGCAGATCAAACTATTCAACACAATAAAAAAGGCCATAGAATTTTTTTTAAAAAATCAATTAATTGATGCACTAAATTAGCAATCATAAAAGAGGAATTCCATAGATATAAATCAATCTCAAAACAACAGATCTAAGTGAAAACAGAAATTGTAGAATCCAAAGAAGTTCAATTAAATGCTTATTGGCAGAAATTACAGATCCAAGAAGAGATACAAACATGCCTTTCAATCCCTTTGCCCATCATTTTCTTCATTACTTTCATTTTGGCAAGACATAAGGTGTTGGCTTGAATGTGAAGAGGAACGATTAATTGGGGAAAAACCTTGCCCACTATTAGCATCCACAACCTATAATTCAGTAGAAAGAAATTCAGGGGTAGCCAAAGAAATGATATATCATATGCAAACCTCACAAGTTTCAGGTCAATCAAATAGAACTTAATATTATAAAATATATATACATTAAGACCTTTTAAATCTTGTAATTAGTTTCTATTTACCAATTACGTTTCATCAACCATGACATAACATTTAAGTCGATAATGTTCATGAGATCTGACAAAGCCATAATCCAGAGGAATGGAAACAAAATCACTTTTGTAGTCTTGTGAATATTTTTCCTTGGAATTCTGACCTTCCTCATTCTCTGTCAAACACATTTATCATCCCATGGTATAGTTCAATGATGGGTGTGTCATAAGGAGAAGCAAAAAAAGAAAAAAAAGACATACCATTTGCATCTGTAGCCACAGTTGCTTCATCTGACTAAAAATTAAACTCTTAATCTACTCGATCTCTTTTTCTACTGTCACAAATCTCTCAAGAACTCCTGATGTGCTAACAAATCTCACAAATCTGTTAAAAAATATAAATGATCAACAAATTCACAACAAAGGCTGATTAAAGAAAAAAAAATTGCGATTAAATTTTAGTGATTGCAATCAATCTAAAATTCAAATCTATAACTTTGTTCTTGTAAATATCTTCCCTTTCTTTGCATAAATAGTAAAAGGCCATTCTATGCAAATTTGACTCCAAAGCATCCCATCAAGTCAATGACTTGTCTATACACCCATGATTGATTTACCTCGTGTGGGTGCCTTTGGTGAACCAGGATGAATCTAAACATAATGGACGTAGGTTATCGAGTACCCTCCTTTGGAAAGCAGATCTTTGGCACTTTCTAACTTCTAACTTCTAATGAAAAAAATTCCACTTAAAAGCCCGATTAACCATTCAAATACCCATCAATAACATAGATTGTTGAAATGGTAGTGTAAAAGAAAATATAGCTAGCAAGCCTCTCTTAGCATTTCTCAACAAAGATAAGCTGTTAATGGGCTCTTAGAAGTAGCTAAACAAAGTTTAAGTTCATATAAAGTAACGGTTGCAAGAACATACATACCTTATATAACATTACCATGAAAAACAGGCTAGCTTATAATCCTTGCTTTTTCTGCCACAATTTGCAAACCTACCTTCCTTTGCCGATTGTTTAGTTTCAGGGATTTTGAGAACACCACTCTCTATCAAAGGCTACAATTCTTCTTCTGCCAATTCATGGACCTTGGAATTTGAAGTTTCCCAGAAGGCATAAAGCACCTTGGAATTGCAATAAGTGCACAAGGGCCCATGTTGTAACATCAGAGATTAAATCATTGTTTGTATTTTACATACATTATAATTACAAGGACAAAATAAATGAGCCTAACCTGTGACCCTAGGCCCATGATTCACACTTCCCTTCAAAGGCTTTCTTCCATAATGTTGAAGCAAACTCAGGACAGTTTAAGACTAGTTTTCGTATGGTGTGACTAGAATGGAAGTTTTCAAGGACATGCTCCTTTTCAGATTCTTCCGATTTAGGCTTTGCTGCAAGTGATGCTATAGCCTCATGCAAGTTCTTCAACTTGTAATTCAAAGTTTGATAGAGAATGCCACTGGAGCCACCTGTTGCAACCTGCATTATGATCAAGATACTGTCATGAATTGATGATGTTAACACAATTAAGAATGCCAGACAATCCAAGAGACAAGAAGAAACTAAAACGAGTGTTTAATTTGAACAACCAATAAGAAAACGCACCCCAAAATTTGTTACATAATGACAAGCTCACATGGTAGACTTTGGGAAATAATTTCCTCTTAACAGATTTTTACATCTTTTAACCAAGAATGTTACTTCAAATAATAAAAAAAAATTAAAAAGGCAATTACCTCATATATAATTTCTTTTCCAAAATTTGATTGAAGTAATTCTCTAGTACTTTCAATGCATATGTCAACAAGGTTCTGCAAAACCAAACAAGCTGAATTTTAATACAAATTGCAAATATTTACTACAACAGAACCCAAAGTATCAAGTGCAACACCTATAATGTGGCAGAAAAGATGTCAGGAAAGGTAAAAGATCTTTGTATTTTTTAAAAAAGGTAATAACAATGATGCACCATATATCCTCACACAGGAACAACTAACCTCTGCAAGCCCACTATTGACTAGCAACTCCCTCCTCCTTAAGGAAGGATCCTTCTTCCCACCCTCAGAAGTTTTTTCAACAGACTCAACTGCTGTCCCTTCCTCATCACTCTCAGCATACGCCTTACCAGATCTTTCTTCCCTTTGAGACTCTTTCTTAGACTTTGTCAGTGAGTCAGCCTGAAAAATGGGGTCAAAATCATAGATTTAGGACATTTGTATTGGATCACCACTCTTAAGATAGTTCTACAAAAGATCAATCTACCCCAACACTGAGAGAAGGAATTGATAAATTTAGAGATGCTAGATCATCAGGACTTTAAATAACGTGAACAATTTGGATGAAGTAGTTGTAGCAACAGACGTCTTCCACTCTGAAATTTACAAATAACAAATCAAAGCTGATTAGAAGCCACAATTATTAGTGAAACTAAAAACACAACTTTATCATTTATGGAGATCCCCCAAGGCACTGTAGCTCTAACAAATAAACGAGTACAGATACTAGGTTCATTCTTACTTTACTAAGGCTAGAATGGCACATTATTTTCCAAGTTCAAATGGTCTATGATAATACTTCAGCAGTCAAGTAAATGAAGAAGATACATACCTTATATAACATTCTTGCAAATCCTTCAGCAGACAAATTCTTGTATGTTTTTCGAAATAGTAGTAGACCTTTTCTAGAACCTTCTACAAACCTTTGAGTTCCTTCAAAATTCACTTAGAAGCCATGAAACTTCACTAGATGAGGCCCTAAAACCTGCAAATCACAAAGTCCCATGTCAGGAAACAATGAAATTAGCCCAGAAACAAGAACTAACAAGATGGATCCCATCATCAAAAAAAAAAAAAAAAAAGAGAGAGAGAGAGAGAGAGAGAAAGAGAACAGCAAGCAAATGGGAGAAAGGAAGAGTGCAGAAGACGGGAGAAAGGGGAATACCTGAGGAAACAATGAAATCAAGAGATGACAGATGGAAATAGTGGTAGAAAAAGGGAGAAGTGGGTTTCAAGCAGATCCAGAGCAACAACCTCTCTCCCCTGTAGCACTTATTCTCCAAACCCAAATCCCTTGATTATGCAAAACCCTACAAATTATCAGTCAAACTCAAATAGGAGTTAAATTATCTTCCTAAAAACCACAAAGTCTCAGTTTTGTTAGGGTTTTGAGACAACATGTTGACAAGTAGACCGAAGGACGTGAACATGCAGTTAGCGTTGGCGAAATAGAAATCGGGACTACTGTTGCGTCCTCCTACAGTGGGATTGACAGTGATTGTGGAGTATGAGAAGCTAGTGTTAAAGGAGGAAAAGAATGACCTAGAGGTCAAACTCCGCCAGATCATCGAGAATGTTCCGGTCCGCGTTAGCAACACCTCTAGCAGAGAGAAGAAACGAAGAGGATTAGGAAGAAATCACCCAAAATCAACACAAACTCTCCTATTGACCTCCTGTCGTTGATGGATTAGAGTCGAGGAAATGAATTTGGCAATTAGGTTCGAATGGGTTTTTGAGTTTTAGCAAAATCAACTCCAAAATTTGGAGATTTGGGAGAGGGACGAAAATAATTAGGTCTACCAGGGGAGGGAAACTTGAAATTTGGGGAGGGAAAATTGGGAAGATGTGGGGGGATGGGAAAATATATACAGATGGCTAAAATTGAAAAGAAAAAAATTATGTTTAAGAAATAGAGAATTACACAGACAGCGTTAATCCATCTGTATAGTCACAAGTACACAGATGGATAATGACTATCCGTTAGAATTGACACACTCGGTACAAACGGATAATTAGAATCTGTTTGTATAAATCCATCCTATACTAACGGATAATTTTTTCGTTGGTATAAATCTGTGTATAATAAGTACTTAAATTTTTCATTGGTATAAATGGTTTTATACGGACAGACTCATATCCATTAGTATAAACTTCCGTTGGTAAAAGGCATTCTATTTGTAGTGGCAGCTGCTACCTTTGAGCTTGTGTGGGTTCGTCATCTATTAGCTGAACTTGGGCTTCCCTGTTCCACTTCTCTAGAACTTTTTTGTGACAATGTCGATGCCACTTCTCTCAGTTTGAATCCTGTTATGCACCCTCGAATGAAACATATCACCATTGACTTGCATTTCATCCGAGACTTGGTTGACAAATGGATCCTGCATGTTTCTCACATCTCCTTTCAAGATCAACTTGCAGATGGTCTCACTAAGCCTCTTGCTTCTGCTCACTTCTCCAGTTTACAATCCAAGATCGGTGTTGCTACTGGCACCATCGTCTTAAGGGGGCGTATCACGGAAAGTAAATCTGCATCTTTGAATTCATAGATCTAGTGAATCTGTTTTGATATAATTGTGTATATATTATATATATTTTCTTTCCTATTTTACTAAGATACAAATTGTTGTCCTGTATATCTTGTACTGTTATTGGATTACAATAAATCAATGAGAAAGTCTCTTTCAGAGTCATTGCTTTTCAACCCTTCATGTCCCTCTAAGGTAATTTCTTGGCTTTGTCTTTGATTATTTCATATTTTAAACTAAAATCCTAAAACTAAAACTCAGCAAAATCTAATTGTTTGAAGGATTTTGGTTGAGTAATTAAAAATTTATTGGCAGTATAGGAAATGAGGTCAAACTCAAGTTCTGGGTACAAACTGAGCTCGAGCTCTCTCGACTACAAACTAGCTTGTGCTTGAAATGTTCGAGCTCAATAATATGAGGTGAGCTAAAGCTTAAGTAGCTAGGTAATCAGCTTGGTTTGACTCGTTAACTGCTTTATTGGTGGTATATATAAATTGAATTTTCATATCATTTACAAATCATGAGAAGTATTGATTAACATATATATCATGACAGGAATGCTAGTGGTTCCTTAAAACTTTTCATGAAAGATTACCGTGCAATTCAATCTCTTCGTCAAGCAATACCTCGAGTGAACACAGAGCACACAAAGTGTCATCTTTGCATAGGCTCATCAATCAATTATTTCTTGATTATGGAGAAGACTAGCTTTCTAAATAAGACCCAGATCTTAAATTATTGTTCACACTGTGTCTACAAAATCTAAAACTATCATTCTTAATAAATGTCAATAAAATATATCTCTTCTTAGCAAGAGTAACAAATCCCATCTTAACCACTTACAAACCTTATATTGTTAGTAACGCATTCGAGTATTGTGTTAATAAAGCCATCACTCTCAAATCCTATCATGTATTGCTTACAACTTTGTTAATAAAGCGCTATCTTTAGTATTATCAATGTATGTAAAAAATATTGTGATCTCAAATCAAAAAATTATTACACTATCACTTAAAATGAAAACAACTAATGAAACTCTAGTAATGATATTCATATTAGTGTTTTCATTAGTGATCAATTGAGTGCAGTTCTAAGCAAAAACCCATATATATAAGATCAGGATATCACTGTACCAATTTGTTTGACTTCCTTTGTTAATTACAAACAAATTATTTTATAGTTGCTTTAAAATTTTAAAATTTTGAATCTATAATTATAAATTAATTTCATTAATTTTTTTTAAAATGAAGTGGATAAAAAATTAAAGATTACTCAATTACTCCATGAATTTAACTTTTACTCAAAGGGTAATGGTTAAGAGTATTTTTACTATAAAGGGTGAAATTGGGCATATTAGTAAAATTAATCAAAGAGTATGGGTAAGGATAAGGCAATAGCTTCCACCATAAAAAAAGGATAATGCAATATCTACTCCTTTGCATCCCATTGTCATTCATTTTTCTTTTATTTATTTATTTTTTTTTTTGATCTTTTAGTCATTCATAATGTAAGTTCTTATTTATTTTGAGTTGTACAATAGATAACAACAATCTCTTTTATTTATTCATAATTAATTATCATTTAAATAAAAAATTTTTATTTACATAATTTATGTTATAAATTATTTTTTTAAAGTAAGGTATAATATGAATAAACACATTAATGACATCTTGAAAAAGAAAAGTTGACAATTAAATTTAAACACCTCAAATTAAAAATACTAGATTTAAGATCAATTTGTGAGGTTTTAATAATAATTAAGACCTACAAAATGGCTGACATCTTAGAGGATTGGATGGGCCTACTCCTTTTTATACATGTTAACAATTAAGAACGAATTGTTTGGCAAATTTTGATTCCAATTAATGGCCGCAAACATAGAAATCAATCTAACTACAATGTCAAGCAGGTTAGTTCACCTTGTAGAAAGAAGTCAACAACCTATGAGATTCAAGATTTGAATCTATTGCTTGCTTACATAATAAACCATCATAATATGGAATAAAAAAGGAGGAAATTGTTGTGAGCTTAATTCTATTCGGATAAAGCCTACACCAGGCTTGTTCATTATTACTTGGGTGGTTTCTAACGTCACGAACTTGGAGACATCTAGAAACCTTTGAATTCTTCTTAGTCGGCTGATTATGTTCTCATGTGTGTTTGTCAAGTTGACCCCGGCTACTTGAAAAACTGTAACATTTTCATAATATAAGGATGAAATTGCAGAGTTTCATATTTGAACTTTTTTATTGCCTATATAAATGTAAGGGTTTGTTTGGTTAGAGATCCACTTTTATTAGGGTTGTTTTTATTGAGAAAGTGATTAAGAAAGTATCATATAGAAGTTGATAAACTTTATAGGTAAATTTTGTTAAAATTTTATTAAGTTTTTAATTTTTCTGTGTTTGGTACAAAATTAATATAGGAAAAGTTGTAAAGAAAGTTGTCAAGTAGTTCTATATAAGAAAAGTTAGAAAAAAAAACTTTTTTCTTTCAAAAAATGTGAGAAGAAAAGTTTATATATTGAGAAATGTGTTAGAGAAAAGAAAATAAAGGCAAAAAAATATCACTTTTATCATTTTTTATTATAATATTAATATATAAAAATACATAAACAATCTTATAAGAAAAAAATTTAGAAAAATTTAGGTAAGAAAGTGACCATGAACCCAATGACTATTCTCTAGGACTAGGAGGACAATGAACCCAATGCACGGGTTGAAAAGCAAGACCATCCAAAATTTCCTGTTGCATCTCTCGCAACCACAGCAAGTCTAGGAAAACTACTTCGTGGAAGGTACTTGGCAATATTAGAGCTAATTTTCACAAGGGAAAAAGGGGGAAGGCACCGTTTGTATAGATAGTGATATCAAGGACTAACAACACTCAATTGTGTAAAATCCTCCCTCATATGCGTTCCTTATTGGACAATAGAAATACGTTGAAACAATTTATGCTCGGCAAGGACAAGATTTCTCCACTTCCATATATATCAGCATAAACAAACTATGTGCTCTCCAACTAGTCCTCTTGATTCTTCCCTTCCCAATGTTCAATCGATTGAAGGTTTCTCCCTTGTAATAAAAGCTTCTCCAAATTCTCGATGGGGAGCTACCCTCAGACGCATGAATGAAATCAGTATGTGGAAAATAAATTGTCTATTAGCCATAATCCGTCATTATTATCATGAAGCAATCTCCATCCCTGTTTTACCAAATTAAAGCGCTCGATCAATTAAGTACTTCCAGATCCTTCGAAACGCATGCCCCCCTCCAACTAAGCCAATGCACTCTCCGCACGTTCTTGTTCTTTGTCCCCACCAAAATTGACTAAGGATGTGATTCAACGAGTTACAAATGGTTTTTATGAAATTTAAAGCAATACATACATGACATTAAAGCGACGAAGTTCTACCTGCCACGCCTTAACAATAAATATGAGGTTTAATTAATTAGGGAGCCCTAGCCGCAGAAAACCCTCCCCTAAGAAAAATGCCCCAGTTTCGGTCCTAAGAAGCTAGGGAACAGTGGATTTTGGTCCCTGTTTCCCCCTCCTCCTTCCTTGCTATCTTTTGTGCAGGGTAGGAAAAATAGTAATCATACAAGTTCCTCCCTTCGAGTCTCTTCTTCTCTTCTGAAGCCTCTTTTTTTTTCTTTTTCTATTGCTTCTCTTGTACCTGGATCACAAAGACATAGTGGTTGTGGCTTGAATTTCTTTTGAGAGTAATCGGAAATATTAAGATGGTTTTAGTTGGCAACAAAGCAAAGATGACTTGAGCTAGTATATGATGGTACGTAGTCATAACCTCCCTTGGGGATGGTATTCCTATATGGATATGATATGGTTATCAGTGGGTGGGGACTCGCTGTTGTAGGCCCAAGCAACCATATCTCCCTAGAAAGCTACCATAGCAATTGAGAACATTTGGTACCTTACGATGTTTGTAATGACTTTCATTGTACGTAATTAGTAGCTCATTTAAACTTCTATAGTGATTATTAATATAGTTTAGATGCAGATAATTTTTTATATTTAATTTTTTATCTTTGTTATGACTATGATATATAATACACTTTTAATTTGGTTATCCAAGTTGTCATACAGGAATTTATATGTAATATCAATTTCATTTATTTTAATACAATTTTTATTTTTTTATTTAAAAAAATGATTTGGACAACTAATTCCTCTATATTATATGCATCTTTAATTTATTTTACTTTTAATTTCAAATCAAAATATAATAATTTTTTTTAAATGTGTTAAAAAGTATCTTAAATTAAAAAATATTTTTGTATCAATATTAAAAAAATAATTACGTATATGCAAAGAAACAAACGATCATTAGTTGCATGTAAAAATTATGTAAAGCTTAAAGAAAGAAATTAAGAACGGAGGAGAGAAGAAACAATGTCACTGTCACTCATAATACAAATCAAATAAAAAAACCTACAATAACAATATATAGGTAATGATCTCTGAACAATCGTGGCATAACCATATCCAGATTCATCTCCCTAGAAAATGAACCAGTTTATTCAGCGTAAAATATGTCCACCCTACCAACATCACCATTATCATCGAAACTACCACATGAATAGGTATATGGAAATGGACATGAAGATAACGGAGAAGGTAGCCAAAAGAGACGAAGCTCCGGAGCTGGGAGGCGGAGGTGGGGGACTGACACTGCCAGGTGAGCCTGAAGGACCAGGGGTACCGCTGACGACGCTAACAGCTAGTTTTTGGCCCTGGGAACAGTGGTTGGGGAAGGTGCAAAAGTAGTACTGGGTACCAGTAGCGTTCAGCACGATGGTCACCGGTCCAGTCCTGTCGACAGAGAGGGTATTGGCTATGTTGCAGGAAGTATAATCGGCCTGTGATGACGTGGCCACATCATGAACTCCGGTTACAAAGTTGAACACTGCCAAAAAAACCATAATAAATGAAGATTGAATTCGTAGTTCTGCAATCCGACATGAGAACTATTAGATAAAAGTACAGTTCCTAAATTTAGAGGGCTTGCCTCTCATCCAGTTGCGAGATCATATTGTGAGATAATATTGTAAGTATTAACAAGGTTGTATATATTTTTTTTTTTTTCTTTCAAGGCATTTAAACCTAGAAATTGAAAGTGTGAAGGTCTTAAACTCTTCATCCCTTAACCATTAACTGAAGACTTGATTAAATGAGGAAATTATACAGAATCAAATAGTGTCTTGCATTCCAAACTGCATGGAACGGCAAAACACCAACCATCAGATCAGTTTGGAACTAAACTAAACATGCAGTTTGAACTCCAAAAAGAGTCACGAGAAGTTTAACAAAATTCTATCCAATCCAACCCTAGTTTTCACTTTTCAGCAACTGAAAAACTGTAATAAAAGTTAGGACAAATCACCATTGATGGAGAAAATTACCTAGAGAATCGCCGACTCTGAACGTGTACTGAGAGGCCCAGGTGGTATAGAAATTAGAATTGGAAGTAGGGGTTTGCCAACCAGTTGAGTTTCCGACAGTATACACTACAGCATATGTTGTCTGTAAAACAGCTGCTGCCAAGAAGACAAGAAATACTGCAGTCTGGATATTTGTTGCCATCTTTCTCTGCCTCTGCTGCTTGATGTGTTCTGAATGTTTGGTCTCCCCTGTCTCCGTTTCTTTCCTTGCCCTGTTTTTTGTTTCCTTATTCCTTTGTTGGGTTATATAGAGAAAAGGGGAGTGAAAACTAGGTTGGAATTTAGAGAGTACTGTTGGTGATGAATCTATTCAAAGCTAGAGAAGCCAATTTAGCTTGAATTTTTTGTGGGAGTAGTTGTTGGATGGCATCAGCATTACCAAACCCATGTCAATGCAGGGGAAGGAGTCTATCGTATGATTCCAACTAAAAAATTCTGTTATTTTTGTTGTGTGTGGGTATGTTTTTAAATGTATTTTTGTTTTCCAAGTTTAATTTTATTAAAAAAAAGTGTTTTTGCAGTTTTTTTTATTATTTTTTTAAGATTTATTTAAAATTTTATTTTTTAATTAATACTTTTAAAAATCAATTATTAGATTAAAAATTTTATTTATATAAATCATGTATAAAAATTTTTATATTAATCTAGGGGGTTTAATCAATTTGTCAATTAAAAAATTTAAAATCATTAAATATAAATTAGTAAATAGAATTTTTTTTATTTAAAAGATTATAAATATTAAAACAATATAAAAATTGACATATAAAATTTATAGGAATAAAATTCTTAATTAAATAATTAATTTTTATAATATTAATTTGAAGGTCAATTTTCAAAAAAAAATTTGGAAAAACCGACCTGCACTGCATTAACCCCTAATTTTACGGTTAAAGCCAACTATAGTCCTTTTACTTTCAATTTTCGTTCATTGTCCTCCCTGTACTTACAAATCGTTCAAAATTTTCCTCTACTTTTCTAAACCATACTATAGTCCTCCCTTTACTTTAACTTTCTATTACATTTAGCTCCCTCCCCTAACACCAGCTTAACACCGTTTATAACTCCCATTTAACAGTGGCATCTTTGACAGTTAAGTGCAATAGTTTTTTTTTTCTTTTATTGTGAATTGTGTCTTTGGGTACAAAAATCCTGCATAGCATATGTACTTGACTAATTAAAAAAAGTAGCTTATCATGTAACTTTCCATGATCAATCAACTAAAATTAGGAGTACATAGATTATTATTACATCCTAAAGCTTTTTTTTTGTTGGGCCATTACGTCTTAAAGTGTTAGGTATTATTTGTTAATAATTTATTGTATTGTATTATAGTCAGGGATGGAGCCAGACTTTTAGGTGAGGGTCGAAATCTTAAAAATTTTTAGAATTGTAATAAATTTATATCCATATAATTTATATTAATTTTTAACTATTAGTTATATAGTTTATTAGTAGAATTATGTATATTTTTATCTTATGTTTGGGTCAAAGGGAAGGAAGAGAAAAATTTTCCCTCTCCTCTCCTTATTTGGATAAGTAATTAAAACTTTTTTTAAAAAAAAAGTAAAAGGAAATTTGCCCATTTCCTCCATTCCTCTCATTCCAAACATATTATTAATTATAGATCTTGAATTTGATCCATAATTTTTATATACAAAAAAATTATACCAATTTTTATATTAGTCACTAATTTTATGGATAAGTGTATTACTTATAACATATATGTCAAACTTTAAATTAATTAAATATATTTAATTATTTTTGAATAACATACAATTCAATATCCTTAAACAAATAATACAAAATAATAGGAAAAATGTTAGTAAGTTGGATCGAGAAAAAATTATGAAAAAATATTTCAAATTTATGTATTTAAGTAAACTCTAATTAAAATAAATAGTCTAAATTAGCATATTTTTAAGGTAAGAAAGAAGAATATATTAGTATTTTTCGTGATATTTTATTAGAACATCCTAATTTTGAAGTATTTTTCACCTTATTTTTATGCAAGTCTAATAAATAAATACTAATCTCATATAAAATATAATTTTTTTATTTGATTACAGATATTAATGAACTTTCAATTAGAATATAAATTGTACAAAAAATTATAACTATTATAAAATCTATCTTCATACCCAAATAAAATTATTTGTCTTAAGAATTGATTATAAAGAAAGAAATGGTCCCTTTACCTAGCTCCTAAATATTTTCGTTAAATTCAAAAAGGTCATTGTAATTCAAACATCAAAAAAAAATTTGTACTAATTAAAAATTAATGTACTAGATTAAACATTTTTCAAAACTTAGGGGGGCAGCTGCCCCCCCTTGTCCTATGGTAGCCCGCCCCTGATTATAGTTATAAGTTTTGTTTTTTATTATTCTAAAAATATATAAAATATTAATTAAAATTAATCAAGAATGTTATAATTATAATACCATATAAGATTATAAGTTTATAATTATTATGTGACATTAAATAAATGTAATATGTTATTAAATAAATTGTTGCATATAATACCATGGTGGATTTTAAGTGAAAAAAAGTTAATTATACAATAATATATTATATTGGTACAATGCCAAGATATGATACAACTATATTATTTTTTAAAATTAATAAAAATATATATAAATTAATTAAATTTGATTAATAATAATCAAATTGCATTTTAGATAAAGTGCTATATGAAAAAGTTTTATGAAAGGTATGGTTAAACAAAACTTTAATATTATACAAGATTATTACATTTTCAACCATATTTAGACTTGATTTAGCAATGTTATGGTGTATTCATAGATTTTTCTTTCACTATCTTAAAAATATTTAAAATATTAATTAAAATTAGTAAAAGGGTTTTTTCTAACCTTTGCTCTCATGTGTTATGAGGACACACGTTAAGAGTCTTGAAAGAATGAATATTGACATTTAATTTATCAATTATTTAGTTAAATTTATTCACGTGGCAATAATTATGAAATTAATGTCAATTTTTACATTTTTATAAAAAAATTTATGGTAAAAAATTACCCTTAGCCTTTATTCCTATAACACAAATTAGAAAAACTCTTAGTAAAAATATAAAAAAAATAATTAAAATGAATAAATTTACATTTTAGACAAAGTACTATGTGAAAAAATGTAAGAAGCATGGTCAACTAAAACCTTAATTTAACTATTAATAATAACTAATAGATAATATTCTATATATAGTGATTAACAATTGTTATTATTATTTATAATTTAAATGCCCTTGTTCATCCAATTAAAGAAAATAAGTTTTAATTATTTCTTAATCATTATCCATAAAAAAAATATTTCTTAATAACTCAATCAAATATGGCCTAAATTTTTGAAAATGTCATTCACATTAATTTTCAATTATATTAATAGACTAAAAAAGTCAAAAAGAAACTAATAATATAAATAGTTTAGTAATAATTTTTTTTAACAAAAGTAAAAGATTTTGAATTCAAATTCTGTGACATGTAAATGGGATAGGTTAAGAAATGAAAGAGAGTTAACTCCCACTATGCAATTCAAGGTAAAAAAAAAAAATCAGAAAGAATAATTTAATGTAAAATTAACATTAATAAGATGTGACAATAAAATTATTCTAATAGTAATTAAGAAAAGAAACAAATAAAAATATAAAAATGGAGACTTACTTTGTGCATTGAAATCAAAGAATACTGAAATTAATTACTGGTTAGTATATACTTGTTAAATTGATAGATTTTGAACCTTTTTCCTTTGTTTTGTGGGACTCACAAACACAATTCACTAAAAAAAGGAAAAACTATTGCTTTTCACGGTCAAAGATGCCACTGTTAAATGGGGGTTATAAACGGTGTTAGGGTGGTGTTAGGGGAGGGAGGTAAATGTAATGGAAAGTTAAAAGTAAACGGAGGACTATAGTATGGTTTGGAAAAGTAGAGGGAGGACTTGGAATGGTTTGAAAGTACAGGGAGGACAATGAACGAATATTAAAAGTAGAGGAACTATAGTTGGCTTTAACCCCTAATTTTATCAGGTGTGCACCGTCCTTGGCTATTACAGATTTCAACATAGTGGTTTTACTTGGCATCATGGTATTAATCTTTGGTTAAAATATCATTTTGGTCCCTCAACTTTTTAGTTTGATGCCAAAATTATCCTTAAACTTCAAAAAAAATATATACTAAAATTATGTCTAAATTTTCATTTTTGATACCAAATTGATCCCTCCATTGACGAAAGTAGCAAGTGCCATGTTAAATTGCTACAATATTGGTGGTGCTATAAGGACAACTTTTTTATATCACTTTTTGATATAACTTTTATATGTCATTAAATGTGAATGTATTCAATATCATGGGTGTCACATAAATTAAAATAACTAATAATTTAAATGATACATCAAGTTGTATAAAAAATTAAAATAAAAAAATTGTACAAAAATCATTTCCCTCATAATATCAATCTTTATATATTTTTTAAAATGATGTGTAAATTAAAATATTTTTTATTTATAATTTAACATTTTTTATTATTATTTCACAATTTTCCAACATTAAAAAGAAAAAAAAAACTTCATCTTCTTCCTCCTTCTCTCTCTCTCTCAATCCTTCGACAGTTTGCCTCCTCGTTTCTCTATCAACCTTACTCCTTCCTTTCCCTATTCATCCTTCTTCTTTCTTCTTCTTATTCTTTCTCTCTCTCTTCTCCCTTCTTCTTCCTCTCCAAATCTAGGTTTCTCAAACCCAAATCTGGGTTTTCTCAAACCAACCCAGATCTGGGCTCTCAAACCAACATCGAATCCAGTTTGTTTCAAGCTTCAGACACTGTTTGTTTTGCTGAATTTTTTTGAGTCTAGATCGAAATTCGCTTTGTAAAGAGAGGTTTTAGAAATGGATGTTGACTCGTGGAGTGCTCGTCTCTCTTCCACTTCAAGGAGATATTAGTTGGCTCTTCAATCACAATTTGGTAAGCTCTCTTGAAAGAAGAGCAAAAGAAACACCAACAAAATTCAAACCAAAATATTCAACCACCGAAAACCCAAGAGCACATAGACAAGAATTCCCCCCCAAAAATTGAGATTAAAGCTTAAAACTCTAATGATTCCTCAAATTAATCCCACATTATTTCCACTATGAAAAGCTAGAAAGAGAAAGTAATGAAGAAGAGGAAACATAGACCATGTGATGGAAGGAAATGGAAGGTGATAGAGATGGAGAATATTGGAGAAACCCTGATCTGGTTGCTTGCTTCTAGTTAAAGTTGCATAAGCAGCAAGTCCTCTGATCCATTGACACCAGATCTAGTTCCTCTCTTCTTCTTAGGTGCACTCAAAATCTCAACCTCCTTTTGACAGCCATGTATTTGAAAAATTAGGCTTTAATCTTCCTTGTTTAATTGGACTAGCTCTAGAAGAATGAGAACCCAGATTGGGTTCTTCTGGAGAAACCCAAATTAGGTTCTAACCATCCAACGAAAAAAGAGAGAAAAAAGAAGAGCTGGACGGAGATGGAGGAGAGGGAGGGATAGAGGAGCTATGGAAAGGGACGAAGATGGAAGAACAAGAACCAAAAGAATCGTTTCAAAATTTTTTTTTTTTTGTCTAATTTGTTTAAATTTAGTTTATTGTAATTAGATTTGCTTTAGTAAAATGAAATGAAAGTTAATTGATTCTTTCATAAATTAAGAATTAATTATGGTAGATAGACCAATTAAATAGGTCAATCAGATTAATTATTATAATTTTTAAATATAAATAAAATAAATTTTAAACTAAAGTAAATTTTTTTCACCATACAAAATTAAAAAAAACTACACATAATTATTTTATACAATGTGGATTTCCACCTAATATTCAAAATTTAAACTAGTCAATTACTTAATGGGAAAATTGGCCACATCAACAATTAATCGACGGAAGGATGAAATTGGTATTGAAAATTAAAGTTGAAGGATATTTTGGTATTTTATGAAGTTCAAGGATGGATTTGGTACAAATTTGAAAGTTGAGGGATGAAATTGATATTTTAGCCTTAATCTTTCTATTAAGTGGAGCAAGGGATCTTATACTTAAGTTGAATGGTGCATTGGTAGGGTAATTTATGAGATGGAAGAATGTTATTTCTTATTATATAATCTAAAATAAATAAATAAAAAGTGGAGATGAAAAATTGTTTTGCTTAAAAGAGAATGAAAATAATATAGTTATATAATTTTATATGACATTATAAATTTACAATCTACATATCATTATATAATTAATTTTTTTCACTCATAATCCATTAATAATGTTATATGTATCTACTGATTTAATGATATGTTATGATCATAAGTTTATAATTTTATATGACATTATAATTATATAACATTGTCAAAAAAAAAAAAAAAACAATACAAACCCCAAGGGTTATATTTATTAGTAACCATGTGTTGTTTTATGGATTAGATCCAAGATTCAAGTCTTATGGCTAGTAGCACTTAATGTACTAGATCAATGCAGGGTGTAAAAAAACTAGTTCAAAGACACTTTAATTGTAAATAAAAAATAAAAAAAAGAGTACAAGATGAAAATAGATGCAAAATTTTATATATATATATATATATATATATATTTAATTACAAGGGAGACTCGAATTGGAATGGGAGGAAGAGTCGAACTCCCAACTTTATAGTCTCAAGCGGCTATTGTCAGTTCAGCTACTACTATTGAATTTCAAAATATGTTTATATTGTTGTGAGGATGAATGGAATATATATCGAAATCGGGCACCTTTGATTACATATGGAGACCCTAATTATTATTATTATTATTTTTTGGTTTGGTCATTGATTATAGAGACCCTAATTTGAAAAGTTATTTGTTCACTAATGCATGGCTTAGCCCTCAATAGTTTCAATTACTGTTGGTGCTCTTCATTCCAACAAAAATACCAAATATGTATCTCTAATTTATGGAAAATGATAAAAGGACGAAAAATGAGACGAATAAATCACAACCATTTGTTATGTAGGCTCCAAACTATATTGATGGCGTTGGTCTTTCGTTCTCTGTTTTCATCCCATTTTAATCTCCTTCTTCTTCTTCTTCTTCTTCTGCTTTTTTTTTTTTTCTGTGCTGTGTTTTGTTGTATTGGTAGTGTATTTTTTTGGTTATATTAAAAATATATAAAATATTAATTAAAGTAAATAAAAATATATATAATTAATTAAAAATTAGAATTTTATATTTTTGAATTAAGTGCAATATGAAAAAGATCTGTTCATAGCATCGGAAAAAGAAGCCTCGGTCCCATGCTGTTCTCCACTATACTAGGACTTCTAAATTATAGAAAGTTGTGTTTGTTTTGGCCGTCCTAATTTATAGACAGTTGATAACTTAGTTAGAAACTAGAGGTATTTTATGTCAACTCAGATAATGTTGAATGCTCATTTGATGAACAAAAAATTTATTCACCATCTTATCTTATATTATAATCTCACAACATTACATAATTGACAATTGGCATTTTTTCACTCATAGATTCTAGTCTACTCTTTTAATATTATTGCTTGAATATTGTAATATATTTTTTTTGGCCGTAAATATTGTAATGTTTGATTTTTAAATATTACTCTCTCAATCACACGATAATTGCCATTTTTATTTACAATTTGTCTTAAATTAATTGTTTTATTTTTAAAAATATTAAAATTATAATTTTTTCTCTAATGCTATTATTATTATTTAACTTTAAGTATCTATTTTATCGCTAACATTTCAAAAATGATTTAATTATAATGTCACTAGGAACTGTAAGTTTAAAGCATGATATGTTCTTATATAATTATCTATTTTTTCATATAAAGTCTATTTATTATATTGTATACATTTATTTATTTAATAACATGTTAGATATATTTAATGACATTATAATTGTAAACTTACAATCTAACATATTTAATATTGTAACTATAATATTGCTGCTAAATTATTTATTTATTTATACTTTTTAAGTGCAATATAGATAAATAAATATAAATTACCCTTAAATTTTTTATTGGTAAAAAAAAATTAAGAATAACAATTTTGAGAGAAAAGAGAGTCCTAAGAGTCTAAGACTATGTACACCAGTGCATGCAGAAAAGGTATGGGACATTTATTATTGCACCGTAAAGCCATTTAGAGCTCTTATGTATAATGAAATTTATGTAGTTATTTAATTACTAATTTCATGTGAAATTCACCTAATGAGTTCTGTTCAAACCTTATCAATCACTTCTCTATTTCCCGCCCCTTCCTCTAGTTGTAACAAAATGTCTATGATTAAAAAAAAAAAAAAATCTCACGCATAACATTACCTAATCTTTGCTTTTGATATTCAATATTACCTCATCTTGATAAAGTGTACCAATGTAAACAGTTTTATTATTATTCTTCTCTTTTTGGCCACGTACCGATATAAACGGTTTGTTTGTCAATTGTTATTTTATTGGAAGAAGGTAACACATTTTCATTTTTTTTTATTTTGGGTACAGATTGAAATAAGAGAGAGAGAGAGAGAGAAAAAAGAAGCATATATTTTCAATTTGATAAATTAACAACTGTGCAATCAACCTATAAGAAAGAAGAGAAACAGATCTTCCTAGATTAAAACCTTTCTCAGTTAAAAAAAATTTGTCGGTGTTTAAAATATAGTGAATTATAAAGTAAACCATTCAACTTAAGATTACATAATTGAAGATGTCACTTTCTCACTTTAAATATGCCTATGCTTAGTTTCACCTGTACATCAGCCTAATCGGTACCGTGTCAACGACGTATGTGGCCAATTCTTTATTAAAATAAGAAGAAACAAACGATGACCCTTGCTTTTCAAACTTTCTGTCACTGAAGTACATTATAAAATTTAGAAAAAAAAAAACATGAATGAAAACCTATAAACTTATGAGAATTGAACATATAAAAATGAAGGCCTTCACCAGAAAACAGCAACCTCTAAGGCTCTAACCACTGGGTCCTTAATTTATATCAATTAAAATTATGTTAATTAATATTTTTAGATTATGAGAAATTCTTATATACTTTCATACTTTTCATTATAGTTAAGATTTTAAAAAGCCAATTGTACGTGGGATTGCTTTGCTATATTCTTACAAATCATAATGCATACCAAATTTCAAGTTAATTAATTAATTAATTAATATGTGAAATTTTAAGTTAATTTGACATTTATAACCATTTTATTAAAAAAATTATATTTTTTAACATACATTTGATGGTATTAAATTTTCTGATATAAATGAAATATTTGAACATATTCAATAAATGTGAAATTTGGTGTAAATAATTTATATGAATAAAATAATTAATCCAACAGTTACTTTCTCAAAATTTGAACGGCACTTAAAATTGGACGATGAAAAGGACGCCCGCCGGGCAACACCCGGTGGGTTACACTCTATATAATAGGTTTATTTGTGGGTTTTCGGAATAAGACCCAAACACCAACCGGTGGGTTACACCTATAGAATATGTTATAGAATGTGTTTATTTGTCGGTTCTCGGAATAAGACCCAAACACCCCAGCGCTCAGCTATTCCCATAAAAAGTGTCTATTCTCGTTACCAAACAGGCTAGAATCATGTGTCTTCCCAGAGAGAGGAGCATCGAACCTTCTGGTCCTCTCCTTCTGTTCCTCTCCCTCTCCCTCTCCCTTCACATGTTGATTCTTTGGATGCAGATGCTTCGATCGAAGATAGGGAGAAGCAGATGTGGTTGAGGTCATCGAGTTCGAATCCTTTCTTTGGATGTAGATGCTTCGATCGAAGATAGG